GCCTTGCTGGGGGCTGAGGTGGGCCCCTGCCTCGCTTCTCCCGGGTCCCAGCCGTGCCGTGGGGCCCGCATCCCCCGAAAGCTGCGTTTGCCGGAGCTCCGATTTCCCCTGTCCACCCAAGCACGATCTCCAGGCTGCAGCGAGCGCGGCCCGTCCCCCGCGGGACCCGATAGCAAGGCAGCTCCGGCATCTGCTGCGCTCTGGCCAGGCTCCAGGCTCGGCCCCGACAGCACGGCCCCGAGGAGGGTGAAAATTCAGCGCATTTCGCGCTGGCACCCTCAGCCCTGCCAAATCCCATCCCCGTGACGGTGTAAGCGATACGGGACTTCCTAGTGCCTCCCCGGCAGGCTGCCTGCACCATCTGTTCGTGTCACTTTGGTAATTAACCAGCGCTGCCCGCGCTGCCCGCAGGCTTTGTCCGCTGACAGTGATGAACGGCAGCACGATTCCCCACGGCGCGGCCTCGCCGAGTGCTGGGAGAGGCGGGCAGGTCGTGAGGGGGACACTGCACCCTCTGCGTTCGTATTCACATCTGGGCTTTGCAGGAACGGTGCCTGGACCAGCTCAGGGCTGGTATGCCCAGATCCACGCTTGTCTGATGGGGCCGGAGGAAGCCGTGAGTGGGGAAAAGGAGCCGGAGCTGGCTGCGGTACAGGTTTCCTCTGCAAGCCAAATTTCTTGTCAAGCCGCTGTGGCCCTACAGAAATGGCATGGCATGTGCTCGGGCGGCGTGTGCGTCAGAGAATTAGCTAGTAAAGGTCAGCTGCAATGGAAGAGGGGCATAAGCCTTTGTGTAGTTTATGGAGATAAGCTGGAGCGGTGAATTTGGGCTCCGGGTTTCAGACGGCTTCGTGCTGTGCATGTGGAGAGGGTGACAGAAAGGGGAACAGAGAGGTTGGAAATGGCTCCTTCTGAGATTTATGGGTCATTTGTATGACCTGAATTCATTAAGCCCCCATGCTCTTCCCCCTTCTGTGAAGAAAATCAGAGCTGATCCTCAGGTTCAGCGCTCTTTACAAAAGACTTTTCAACCTCTACTAATGTTGCTATGGAAATCGCACTAGTTTATGCCTCGTGTTTGTCTTACCAAACTGATTTGTAAAAGAATGGTGTGAATTTAGGGTTGGCCGAGTTCCCAGCTGGCCACGCTGGCCCTGGAAGACATCCTTTCAGCCGCAGCCCTGGCTGGAGCAATGCAAACAGCTTCCCCCATGCTGTCTCCCAGCTTGCAAGCTCCTGTGTCCGCAGCCCTCCCAGGCTTGGGTCCTCTTCAGCCCACCAGGACAGAAACCTGATAGTGCCAGCCCGTACTCAGCCCCTACCAGGGAGACACCAGCTCCATTTGCAGAGGTCGGGGCAGGTACGTGCCCCTGTCCCCTCTCAGTCACTGCAGAATGGGTTTTAGGAGCTGCGTTGCTGCAAATTGACTGAGTATCCTCTTCCCTCCGTTCTGCTCAGTCCTGAGCACAACACAGGCCAGTTTAGCTCACTAGCCCATAAGGTGTCACCCTGTTTCTTCCTCCTTGCTGTCACGGCCACCTCTCCAAAACGCAGCTTCCAAAAGCGGGGGTGTGAGTGATGAGCTGTCAGGTCTCGGCACTCTCATGCCAGTCCCCCCAGGAGGAAGGCAGGATGGCAGCCGTGCCTGCAGACATTGCGACAGCCCAGGGGCTGCGGGGAGCAGCTGGGCAGCTCGATTCCCTTGCCCAAAGCGTGGCTTGTGCCAGCAACAATTCACAGCCCTGGGAAACAACAGGCAGTTGCCTGTCATCCAACAGAGCCCACGCAAACAGCGTGGGGAAAGAAACCTGGGAGCATCTCACTCTCCAACTACATGTCTCGGGAATTGGTGCAGACTCTTGATGTATTATGCATGTATTACTTTTAAAATATAGCTATCTGGAGAGGGGGGACAAGACCATTACTTGGGTCATACAAAAATAGGAAGTATTTCATCATGCCATTAAAAAATACAAAGCCTGTGAAATCAGAGTGCTGGGCTGGGGTCCGGGCAGAACTGGGCTTATTGGGGCAGGGGATTTGCATTAGAACAGGGAAGTGTTTTCATATGTCAGTGCAAACCAAACACAAAATTCAGCTCCCTTATCAAAGAAGCTCATTTGTGTTCCAGAGCAATGGCATTCTGAGGAGTTGTCTTACCAAAGGGATCCTTCTGGAAGCACTGTGAGCCTTTGCTGAGAAAGACCCTACGTGTCAGGCAGGCAGGAGCAGCCATGACAGCTCAGACACCTGCATGAAGCGTGGAAGGCTGTGCTGCTGAAATCCCTTCACATTTTTGCCCTCTTCATAGTATCTGCCAGGGTGCAGCTCAGTGCCAGCATCCCTGCTGGATGCTGGGGACTAGTCCTGCTCCGTCCCCGGGCAGAGGGGATCGCTGGCACACAATCCAGCCCAGCCCGCTCACTGAGGCTGCTTTCCCCTTGTTTCAGTACTAGATCTCTGCGTCCTGCCCCTGCCCTCCCAGGAACCCTGTGAAAGGAAAGGAAAGCATGTTTTCCAGCAAGACTAATGCCTTAATTAGTCAATTTGCTAATATGCTGAGGTGTGAACGGCTTACGGTGAGGCAGGAGGAGCAGCTGTCCCGCAGGCACAGCCCTCATTGCCTGCCTTGCGGGCAACGGAGGAGTTGTCCATACGGAAGGGCTGTCACCTCCCCAGCTCCTGATGGATGAACTCTCCAGGACCGGCGAACAGGCTCTGGAGCCTTTTGGGGAGGGAATGTTTTGTGAACGGATCATGACACAACCGTGGCCTGATTACAGAGCTGAGCGGCTCCCTCCACCCCCCCAAAAGCCATGTGTTAGCTGCGTCTGGGAGCCGTGTCTGTCACGCTGCTTAGCTGTGACAGTACAGTCTGGAATAACGTACCAGTTTTCCAGGGGGATGCTCAGCAGAGGAGAGCACACTAGAAAGACATACAACGGCAGAGTGTGAGGCACTGCCTCCCAGGAGAGACGAAGGCACAGGAGGGAGGAACGACACGCTACGGGGAACTCGGCAGCTAGGAGAGGCTAGCACAGGCCTTTGGCAAGGGAGGTGCATCTTCACTCCCCTGGGCTGCTAATTCACTATTATCTGTGCTGCTTCAGGGATGGAGGCGTTCCGACTTGCACCAGTGACAAACCAGACAAAGAAAATAACAGACTGGGAGGAGAGGAAACTGCCCTGCGCAGCCTGGACCCGTCCTCCACCTCCCTCTGCTCAACAGTGTGAAAAATACCTCTCTCCTCCATCCTCGGTGCACTAGACCAGCTCCATCGGGCAGAGGCGGGCAGAGCCCAGCCCCAACTGCCTTGAGGTAGCAATGAGGTCTACACACATCCGACATGACAGCATCCTGGCCCCTGCTCTCTTTTTTCTTTTTATGTAGCAAATCCAGCAAAGCCCCAAGCTCATGCTCATGTACTGTCCTTTTTGCAAGTGATTTTATTTTAAAACTGGAACTCAAGTTCTCCATTTGTTTAACAAGTCCCCCCCTTTTTTTTTTTAAATAAAATTAATTTATTCTACAGAACAGTAAACTCTTCCAGACTCTTCCCTATTTACAAATTAACATTTTTGCTTGCAGATCATTGCTTCCCCCTCCTTTTCCCATCCCATGACACAGGTGGTGAAAAATCAACCAACATTTGAAGGTCTGTAAGGCAGTGCTCCCATCCACAACCACCTGGCCCGTTGAGACCTCAGTGAAGAACAAGAGTGATGATGTCTGTGCCGCATCTGGAGGTCCTCCCTCATTCACTGTGCATGTGAAGGAAGCAGGTCCATGTTAAACCCACCAATAAAGAGCATCTGGCCTCTCCCTGCTGCACGGGCTCCTCCGAGCTGGGTTTTAGCTGTGCTGAGGAAGGAGAAATACCCCCGCCAGAGCAAACTGCTCCCATTGCCCTCTGAAGGGCCATGCGTTTTGGGAGAAGGTGGCATTTGCTGCAGGAATGAGCTCCACCAGCCCTCGTCTCACGCACCCATGGGCCAGAAAGACAGCTCTCACATCGCAGGAGGAGGCAAGGAGCCTTGGAGACACCTTCCCTGCCCTCTTGAAGTGGGGGAGACAAGCGACTGCAGCGCTGGGGACATGCTTTGCTAGCTCAGGAAAGAAGGCACCTAAAAAACCCAATTTGACCCAACCCAAAACTCCAGGCAAATTCAAGGGGGTTTGAGCTAAGTTGCGGCTTGGCTTGTACCTCTCTTTGCACTAAGTGGTAACTTCTAGCTGGGTACGGTGGGGTCTGCCCTACCTGGAGACCTATCCAGACACTTCAAAGCCACCTCGCTCAGGTCCTGCTAGCACTGTCGCCCAGGCCTGGCAGCCACACGAGGAGCCAGGTGTCCTGGTGATGGGGAAGACAAGCTGTGTGAGGCGAACCAAGAGGGACGTGCAAGCACTTTGTCTGCAAGCAAAGCTGCCCTTTCGGAGGGTCTCCCACCCCACACGAGGCACACAATTCCCGTAAGCAGCCTGGCGTGTAAAACCACTCTAAGGGCTTCAGTGACCTGTAGGAAAAGCACTGGTAACATATAGTGCATACCTGGCCACGGCGGGTTTCTGCTCTACGCTCTCTTCCAGGGCTCACCTCTATCAGGGGGCCTCCTTTTTCTGCTGTAGGTGCATGTGGCTGTACTGGTCTATCAGAAAGCCACCAAGAAGCGGTGACCGCTGCGGTGCCTGGTCCTTCCCGGCAGCAGTGCTGCTACAGCCCATCGCTGGCAGGGTTTTACATCCGCCAGGGAGGGACTTCAGCCATTGGCGAGGGCAATCCTGCCTGTCGCTGCGGTCAGCCTGGCCTGGCCCCTCTGTGTCGGCTGGCTGTTCACCCACCTGGCAGCACCCCATTCCTTTTGCTCTTCCTGGGCGTTTCTATTTCTCTAAGAAAAAAAAAAACAACCTTCAATAGCATCTACTGAAGATGTGTAGTGTTTTCATTCCCGGGAGCCCAGCCAAGCACCTGCAGGGCAAGGCTGCCCCTCACCTCTGGACACACCCCTGGCCTCTGTCTGACCCCCCTTAGACATCCCACATGACTAACAACTGATGCAAAGCGGGGGTGTTGTCATGTTTTTCAAGGTTTGCCTTGAGCAATGGAAAATAGTGCCTAACTGCAGTAGAGAGAAGGCAGAAGGCTGAGCTGATACCCTTGCAGAGAGCTTAGGTTTTGAAAAAGCAAGGAAGACAGGGAGGAAGAAAAGGGTAGGTACAGCAAGGAGAGAAAGGACAAAGGAACAGAAATGGCAAGACAGCAGGAGAAACCTTCCTCGAATGGGACGCATTAAGCTTTGGAAAAAAACCTTCTCCTGGCAGAAGGTGGGAAACACGTGCCCCAGAGAGAGCCTGAAAGACAGCCTAGATAAACCCTCACGCCTCTGCAGAGGTGTCCTCTCAGGCGCACAGATCCGTGTGTGCGAGAAAAGCCTCTGCGTGGGGATCTGCCATGTCCATCGTCATCCCGAAACACCAGAGCCCCTCGGCGGCTGGTTTGTGGGGCAATGGTGCCAGAAGGGATGTTGGCCACGCTGGGCTCTCACACCAGTGGGGATGTGCTGAGGTGCTTTGGCTGGAGGAAGGAGCCCATCACAGCTTCGTGCTGCCATCCCAGGAGGGGCATCCCCAGGGAAGAAACCCAGGGAGCCCGGCTCGGCCCCGGGAGAGTTCTTGGTCCGGAGGGAAAGGGAAGAGGCTGCAAGCTCCAAAATGGCACTGATGCTTTCAGCCTCCCAAACCCCCAGTGCTGTCCCAACCTCGGGGCTGGTGCCGCGTCCAGCTGGGACATCAACC